GCCTTGCAGAGGTACCATTTGCAGGACCAGGCCCAGATTTTATTTTAAAATTTTTTCCGGCCCGGGTTTTTTTTTAAAAAATTTTCAGGCCCGGCCCGGCTGGCTTAGCCCGAATTTTTTAAAATAAATTATATTTATTTTTGATATTTATAGCTAATAATGGCGATTTCAAATATTTGGTTTTAAAATATACAACTCGGCTCGGATATTTTTTCTTAAAAAATTTTCAGGCCCAGCCCGGGTGTTTTTAAAAAAAATTACGAGCCCGCGTATATTTAAAAATTAAAATACGGTCCGGCTCAGGGGCCGGGCCTGCAAGTCTGTGAAAAACATACCTATGAAATACAAAATCTGAAAGTAGATTGAATGATTTGGATCTTTTGAATATTCATAGACATTTAACGCCAAGCAAGGATTGATAATTGAAAAATTAGCTCAAAACATACAAAATACAATTATTCCTAAGAAACTTTTTGTGTATTAATTTATATTTACAACATTTAAATTTTTTATACTTTATATATTTTAAAAGCTCAAAAAATTCAAATTTCAATTTTGGGTCATTTAGGTGATTCATATCGTGGGTTATATTCACTTTATATTTTATGATTCACATTTAAATGCCGGTTTATATATATAATTTTTTTAATTCACATTAGTTTAAAATTGTGTATTAGAAAAGTTATTAATCCTAATAAATTTATGCTTAGTATTTTTAATTAAAAATATTATTTCTTAAAAAAATTTATTATCCCCCCCCAGACCAAATTCCTGCGTACGCGCCTGAAATAACAATATATATGTCGTAATTTTTAAAGGGATCAGAACTATCCGGGATCATCAGGGGTTTTAAAGGGATCCCTTTAAGAATTCAATTTTTTAAAGGATAATACGGTATTATCACGTTTGAACCATGATATAGATGAATCTTAATTTAAAACGCGGTTTACGTACGTTTTGCTTTATTTTTTTAAAATAAATTGTATTTATTTATTTTTAGTGTTGTTTTTTTGGCCTTATGAAATAAGATATGTCTAATATAGGGTATCAATCGATAGCTAATCAAAAGATCTATTCAACTGGAGGTCAATCTCTCCCCCTTAATGGGCGAGTCTAGGTCTGGGGGGTCAGTAATATTTTTATCAAAATAAAATATCGATATGGTTATCAAATAATAGCTAATTTTAATATCTTTTGACTGAAAGTCTTCATTCTTGGTGATGGGTATGACTTGGTGGGGAGTAGATAGAGGGGGGGGGTGTAAGGTAATTAAAATATTTTTTTATTGTAAAAATAATTATCACTTATAGAGGGCGGGGGGTCTATGTCTTGGGGGGGGGGGGGGTCAGGAATATTTTTATCAACACAAAATATCAATATGGGTAATAAGAGCTAATTTAAATATCTCTAGATTGAAAGTATTTATTTTTTGTATAATTTGTATAACTTGGTCTGGGGGATGGATGGAAGGGAAAAAATAATTTTTTTTATAAAAAGTCATCCTTAGCGACTGCTTAAATATCAAATTTACAGACATAGCTTGGCATCAAGCCACACTTCCTTCCAAACATGGCGGTCTTGGTATAAGATCCCCATTGTCGATCTCAATATGTGCCTTCATTGCCATCAACCTTCAGGCACGTATATTAATTGACTAACATCTGTCGGTTCACGATCCTTTTTTGAATACAGCTAAGATAGAATGGGCAAAATCCGTCACAACCTCAACCCTATTTCCGATCTCTGAAAGCAGAACGATTATAATTTACCACATTTGAAAAACTCCGTTGATTACCTTATTTCGAGTCTCTCACCATTGGCCAAAGATCGAGGATATTAATTTTTAGATGTTATTCCATCTACCAATCTCAAACTCGAATTGGACAACCATGAGCTCAGCTATGCTTTATGTATCAGGCTCAACATTCCCTTTTCATTACCATATAAATGCAACAAATGTCATACTGATGATAACAATATGGCGCTGCATCCTTTACATTGCAACCGTAATCCCGGTCGGCAAGCTCGACACTTGAAATGCAATCAAATTATATCTCTTGCACTTAGGTCAGCTGGTTTTCCTACCTCAATGGAGCCTTCTGGCTTATTTTCCGATAGTAGGCGTCCTGATGGGGTCACACGTATCCCATGGTCTCAAGGAAATTTTTTAATATGGTATTTCTCTTGTCTGGACACTAACTCCTCTTCTAATTTTAACAAGGACGCTCTGAACAGAGCTCAAAATTTTAAGATCAGCAAATACAGCGCTGATTCCTCAAATTACATATTCATACCCATCATTTGCTTTGGATAAAAACTTTTTTAAAGACATTGGCCACCTAATCAGAAAAAATTCTGGGGAGCCTCGCGGACGTTTTTACTTAAAGCAGAGGATCGCAATAACCATTCTTAAGGCTAATTGTGTTTGTTTTATTAATTCGATCTCTCCTGATGATTAGATGAAGGAGATTTTGAATAATTTTTGCTGCTTTCGCTTTTATTTATTTATTTTGTATTTTACATTATTTTATGATCTATGCCTCAAAATTGTCTTTTTGTTATTATGATTTTTTTTTCGTAATCGTTTACTAATTATATATTTTTCATTTTATATAACTGTGTGATAATTGAAACCGTTTTTTTACTATTATATTGTAAAATTTATTTATACTATATATTAATATTATAGATTGTGTTATAAATTAAGCCAATTTAAAATGGCTAATCTAGCAATAAATTATTCATTTTAAAAATAAAAGGTAATTTATATATTTTTTTAATGTAATAATAATTCCTGACCACCTAAGACCTCCCGCCTACTTAGAGTATAATTATTACAATCATTAGATATTTAAACTAGCTTTTATTTGATATCCACATCGATATTTGTGTTGATAAAAATATTCCTGATCCCACAAGACTTAAACCCGCCCGGTATGAGGGATTATAATTATTACAATAAAAAAAATATATAAATTACCTTTTATTTGATACCCATATCAAAAAAAAATATTTTTTACACCCCCCCCCCTTCATTCACTCCCAGACCAAGTCACACCCATCAAGACAAAAAATGAATACTTTCAATCTAAAGATATTTAAATTAGCTTTTACTTGATACCCATATTGCTATTTTGTGTTAATAAAAATATTCCTGACCACCTAGGACCTAGACCCACCCATGAGTGATTATTATTTTTACAATAAAAAAATATTTTAATTACCTTTTATTTGATACCCATATTAAAAAAAATTATTTTAAACCTCCCCCCCCCCCAGACTAAGTCATACCCATCAAGACCAAGAATGAAGACTTTCAGTCAAAAGATATTAAAATTAGCTATTATTTGATACCCATATCAATATTTTATTTTGATAAAAATATTCCTGACCCCCAGACATAGACTCGCCCATAAGGAGGGAGAGATTGACCACCAGTTGAATAGATCTCTTGATTAGCTATCGATTGATACCCTATATTAGACATATATTTCATAAGGCCAAAAAATAACAACATTTAAAATTAATAAATAACAATAAAATTAAAAAGAAATAAAACGAAACAAAACGCGAGTAAAACACTTTTTAAAATAAGATTCACTGTTAAAACTTGATCCGTATTATCATTCCTTAACTTAAAACCCTAAATTTCTAGTTATCCCTTTAAACCCCGTGATGATCCCGGTCGGATCCCTTTAAAAATTACGACATATATATATTAATTATATTATAATATAATATAATATTTATTTTTTTTTCCGGTCATGGGTTACTTTATATGAATATTTACTGATATAGATAGCACAATTTAAAAAAGTATATATATTGGAAAAAAATTTTAAAAAACCACACACACAAACATGTATAAATGTAAAATAATCATCTTATGGGATGAGGCTACCCATGAAGCTAATGTAATTAGCCTTGTGAATAGCAATGGCGAGTCTTTGTTTCAAGAAAAACCTTTACGAGGTTCGTCCATAAGTTTAAGATTTTTTTTTTAAATTAAACTTTACAATTTGACAAAAACGAGAAAACATCAACATTTAAAATTAACTTGAAAAGTTTTACTAGCAATCGATTGTCTGCAACTTTTTTCTCATTAAAACTGCAACGTAACCTTATTATTTTGCAGGTTTACCGGTGGAGTTTCTGTAAACAACTTCATCCGTGAATGAATATCTCTGAGGGTATTTTCATAGAAATTGCTTGATACGTACTAGGCGGGCAATTCACATTGGTTGGGCTTGTTTCTTTTTTAAAGATTTCAGCTGCAGCTATTTGTGGATAAAATCTAATGCTTGCGAAATATCAGTTACTCGGGATACTTAACGAATTGTTCTGTGGGTGCCATTAGTCTTCTTGGCTCTATACGAGTGTTTCAAGAGATTCCGTAGGCCGAGCGGTGCGCCGTTTTTCTGCTGATCATCGATTTTGCAATCAATCGATTAAAGACCGCCATAACCAGTTTAGGAAATTCCTTCAATAATATTTAGGCTTCGTAATGTTTTTTATGTCTTAAAATTTTAGTTAAACTTAAGTCATCATTACTAAACCATTTTTTTAAAAAAGTCCTTTGCTTAAATGTAAAATTTAATTTTAAAAAATGAATTTTTATATATAGAAAATTTCGATTTTTTTTGTCCAACTTTGAATGTGGATAACTTTGGACTCTGTTGGTAGAAGATGGAATTTGCAGAAAATATGGATAATTTATTCCCTCATGAATTAGTTTTTAATATATTGAATATACAATCATATAGGGAATTTAAAGACAATTCAATAAATTTGATAAAATATAGGATTTACTTAAAATATGATTTATAAAGAATTATGCAAAACAAATTATAGCCTAATTGCAAAATGCTTATAAAATTTTCATAGTTTTAACCTCAATTATTGAAGAGTGTTGCAATATTTTTTTTATAATGTCTCCTTTATTATTACCTTTCTACAAAATCCGATATTAGTATAAAACATATAATTAAAAAAAAAATTAGATAGCAATTTCGTTTTGGCCAATGCTCAAATCATAGATTATCCCATAGTCTACTGCAACGAAAATTTTTGCAAGATGACTGGTTACAACCGGGCTGAAATTATTCATAAGAGTTGCACTTGTTCCTTCCTGGTCGGGGAAATGACCGATAAAGAAATGCTCAAAAAATTGCAGATCACGCTCGAAAACGCCGAACAGTCTCACACTGAGATTTTGTTCTATCGCAAAAATGGTATGCATTTTTTGAAAATAAAATTAGTATATATATCAATCCACGAGGATTCAGTCTCTCAATTTTACATTTAATTAAGGGTCATTTTAAAATTTGAAAAATCTGATTTAATCATAACTATATTTTCGCATGTATAAGAGTTATACTATGAATTTCTAACAATTTTACTGTAATTGAACTATTAATTTTTATACCGATTTTCCATATAAATTTCAAGGCACATAAAATTTTCCAAAATGGTGTGAAATTCATAGGGTTTAAATCAGATATTTTAAATGCAAATTTAGCCCTTTGGTAAATAACTTAAATTAGAGAGGTTTCGAGTCTCCACGTTGGATATATCCCAATACGACATTTAATACAAAAGATATATAATTATGATTTAATTCAGAATTAAATGTGAGGATTTCTTTAAATTTAGAGGTTAATCTCCACAGAAAAACAATTGACTTTAGATAGGTCCCATCTAATTATTATTCCACATGGATAAAATCAAAAATCAGTGCAAATGTTTTATCAAAAAATATGCCTCATTTTCGAAATAATTTATACATGACATAAATTTTAGCCAGAGTTCAGTATACTAACATTTACGCTTTAAATAAAAGGTACTCCTTTATGGGTCCTCCTATTCGCTGCCCCTATCAAAGACGATAAAGAAAATATAGTATTGTTTTTATTGACCTTTCGCGATATTACTCCTATCAAACAACCGTTGTATCCCGATATTAAACCAGGTTCATCGTATACTTTTTTTTATTATTTATAGATCCTAAAATTTTGTTTAACTTATGGAGACATTCACCCTTCCCGAAATTTAACTTTTTATAAACTTCAAAATTTATTTATATTTTTTATCCAAAATAATTTATTTTTGTATTATACTCTCATTATTAATAATTCAAATTCGTGATTTCATTCTTTTCTTATTCGTTTCAAATTTCCAAGGTTTAAGTAAATTTGCAAGATTAGCGAGGTCCGTAACCCGGAGTAGAGCTCTTTTGCAGCATTCCAACCATATAGGTGGTAAAACTGAAGGTGCAAATAAATCTGCCCATCTAGCACACGTAAGTTTTGCTTATATTAATTTAAATAATATATGATTTTAACATGCATCATTTTTATTTAAAAAAAAGGATTATATTAGGATAAAAATTGTAAGGTTTATATAATGTAACAGGCATTTGCTGGTTATGTATATCTAATATACCTGCTAAATTCAATATCTAGCTCTTAGAAGCAAAATACTTAAATATGTTTTAAAAAATGGTATCATGTTATATAGATATAGATTTGTTTTAACTTTTGAGGGTTAAGAATATATTAATTTTTAAAAAAAATGTTATTTATGTATAAAATACGTAAAAATTCCTACTACAATTATTATTCCTTCAAAAATAACCATAATTCAGGTAGTTCACCTTGACCTAGAAAATTTACCTCATTATAGACTGGAAACTCCAAAAACTCCTCTCCACATAATTTTGCATTATTGCGCCTTTAAGGCTTTTTGGGACTGGGTCATTTTGGTGCTCACATTTTACACGGCTATCATGGTTCCTTTCAATGTGGCTTTCAAGAGTAAAACCATCGAGGACATTGGCCTTCTAGTCGTTGATGCGGTAGTGGATGTGATATTTTTCATAGACATAGTTTTAAATTTTCATACGACCTTCGTGGGAGCTAAAGGTGAAATAGTCTCCGATCCCAAGACCATTAGAATGAATTATCTTAAAACTTGGTTCGTGATAGATCTCCTATCTTGTCTGCCATACGATATTTTTAGCGCCTTTGAAGATGTTAACGAGGTAGCAGATTTTCCAATGATAAATATTTTATATTATTGTGTTTTTATTTTTTTACGAGTTATTATTTATAATCTAATTTTAATTAAAGATCTGCAGGCCCGGCAAATATTTGGTTCCAGGGGCGTAAAAATTTTTTGAAACTTAATTATGCTGGGCTTAAAAATAAAATACAAAACAAGCAATACTGTAAAAATTTCAAATTTTTAAACATAGGCCTGGCCTGTAGATCAGATCTCTATTTTTAATGAAGAATATTACGAAATTAAAGCTAATTATAATCAGTAACTTATTCAAGATATAAAATATAATCTCTTTTAATTTAAATCTAAGATACAAAAAATTAATATAATAGGGTATCAGTAGTCTCTTTAGCGCGTTAAAGGTAGTCAGACTGCTCAGACTTGTGCGGGTTACTCGCAAATTGGACCATTATTTCGAATACGCTGCCGCATTTTTGCTTCTATTGATTAGCATTTTCATATTGTTCGGTCATTGGTTAGCCTGTATTTGGTACAGTATAGGATACGTCGAAGCTGAATCTAATATCGGATACGGTTGGTTGAGGTTTAATCCTTATTTATTTTATCATTATATTTTTTAATTAACGAAATTTCCCTAAAGTCTTTAATATTTTATAATTAGTTAATTCATTGCGCAAGCGCAGTTATAAATTTTAAAAAAATAAGAAGATTGTTATAAATTTCAGGTGTATTTTATATTTAATAGTAATGGCAAGTTCTTCTTCTCACATTATCATACATATATTCCATCTTAACAAGATCCGTAAGCCGTACACTTAACATATCATTTTCTTACACAAATTCTACGCCTCCCAAGCTTGTAGATGGTCCGAGTCGCAAACAAAGATATATATCTTCCCTTTATTTTACTATGACTTGCTTGACCACAGTTGGCTTTGGAAACATATCCCCTAATACAGATGCTGAAAAGATATTTTCCATTATAATGATGCTTATCGGATGTTAGTAATGTGTAGTTTATATTATATTTAATTATAAATGTATGACCTTAAAATGACTTCCTTTTTTAAAAAATAATTATGAAGAATAGTTTTTAAATGAAGTGAATATAGTAGATATTAATTCGCCGAATTATTAAAGTTATTTTCAAAATTAGAATTAAAAATACACGGGGAAATTCGTAATTTAACCTAACCTTGAAATTTTTATAAAATTCATTTCGTTGTTAACTAACCAATATTTATAAACTTTTATAAACAAACATTATATATACTCCATTTGGTTAGAAATCAGTCCTCTAAATATGCTGCGTTTTGCATTATAAAATAATTTTAATAAATTTGAAAATAATGATGCTCAAACTAGTTAAGAAATAGGACGCACAAATACAAATCCCTGCTAGCAGAAAACATTTATATAAAAGATTTAATATAAGTATTTTTAAACTGTATAAAAATATTTAAGGTCATATATTGATATACTTTTAGATTAAACTCCCCCCCCCCCCAGGTATAGTGAAAGAAGAAGGGATATTTATTTCGTTATATTATATTTATCAGTGGGATTTGAAACTTAAAAAAAAAATCAATCTTTAAAATAAATTAATCCTAAAGCTCTCTTATACGCTACTATATTCGGTAACGTGACCACTATATTTCAACAAATGGCCGCCAACACCGCCAGATACCATGAAATGTTGAATAACGTGAGAGATTTCATGAAGTTATACGAAGTTCCTAAAGATTTATCGGAAAGAGTAATGGATTATATCGTCTCTAGGTGGGCTGCCACAAAGGGAATCGATATAGCTAAAGTAAACGTGTTATTTGGTTTGATTTTTAAATTTATTTCGAAGTTCTTAATATTAAAATGTTAGATACTATTAATTATAACGAAATGCACATTTAAGATATTTGGATTTACTTAAAAATTTTGAATACAACGTATAAACTAGGTGTTTACGTATTGTCCAAAAGATATGCAAGCCGATATATGCGTTCATCTAAACAGGAAAGTCTTTCAAGATCAAGCAGCGTTTCGGTTAGCCAGCGATGGGTGTCTTAGAGCATTGGCAGTTAATTTTCAAATGAACCACAATGCCCCTGGCGATCTTATATGTCATACTGGGGAAAGTGTGGACACCTTATTTTTCGTAGTCTCTGGGTCTTTAGAAGTTATACAGGATGATGAAGTGGTGGCAGTTCTGAGTACATAGAATTATATGTATACATTATATACACCTTCAAGAATATTACTGTCCTAGTTTGTAACTTATTTTTTTTTATTATTAATGATTGACATTTTGATATTATCATTTTTTTGGTAAAATGAAAATTAAATCATTAATTTTTTTACGATGATTAATTTTTTGCAAATAAATTTTATGAATTTTTAAATAATAAAGAGATTTTTTGAGTATTATTAATTTAATATTTTTGCTTATTAATTTAGAGACTTGATTAATTTAAGTTATAAGTTGAGTATTGTTTCCTTTTAAGTATTTTTTTTACGTTCTAAATTTTGGTTAATTCACCTCAGATTTTTGTCAGTTAACTGTACAAACCCCTTACTCTCAACCCTTCCTATACTCTTGCTGCAATTTATATATATATCAAAAGTATCAGACTTCTACCATATATATCAAAAATATCAAACTTATACCAATATATCATATAACTGTAAAAAACCCCTTCAACTTCTTTATTTAATATAAAAATTCATACAAACATAATTAAACAAAAATTATACAAGTTACATTGTGCATCTTTAAGATCAGTCCAAGTCCTCCAATATATTTCGTGCAGTCTTCATCTCTTTGTTCTCCTACAATGGCATCCCGTGATCTCCACATTACATTTCTTATATGTCTATAATTTTCTGTCTAACTTAATAAGGGTTATTTACAACGGAACAACAAAGGTGATCAGTAACATTTTTTAGACACTGTAATTTAATCAGATACCTATTTAATAAAAATGATTTTTGAAAAAGGCCACTATGTAAAAAAAAAAATGTAATTAAGTTTCTTGTATTCTTATAATATACAAGTCCCAACATATAAAATTATATTTCTTATCATTTATTTAAAAAGGAGCATAGGTATATGCACCGTTGTTAAAAAAGCATAGCTGTTTTTTTAATGGTCAAACAATTTTATCATTATTTAGATTTAGGAATATAATAAATACATTAGTATATTTATTTATAATTTGTGGATTTTAATAATTATTTAAAAGAAAAATAATATAAATGTATTTTTGCTGAAGATATCAATTGTCCATTTTTTTTCTGTTCTTATGAATCATTTATTCCTTGATATAGCATTTCAAATTCCAAAAAACGAAATTAGTAATGTTTAGTAATTAGCAGCTTTTTTTTCTTCAAGTTTCATGAAGTAGGTGAAATCAACCTTAAAACTTATTCAATAATGCCAACTAGATTCATGATTCAGTTATTATCAGCTGTAATCATTATCATTGACAGTAGACTCCATTGAAAGGAATTTCATTTAAATGCCTTCCACATTTTGCAGCAGACTTTATTTAATACAAACCTTTTAAAAAATATATTTTGTTGGTTGAGTCGTCAATCTAGGTTAGTGATTATATAATTGGTAGAGATGTAACACAAGAAAAATTTCCTCCATAGTTTCCCTAATTTTTTTTATGTGTTTATTGATCAAATAATCACGATTTTTATCATATTACTAAAATATTTTTTCCTCGTGGTTTATAAATCATAATTATGTTTTGTTTTTATATGTATTATACGTTTATTCTTAATCATTCTCGATAATATAATAATAGCTCAACTCAAGAATGTTTATATGAAATTTTTTAATTAGCGGAAAAATATTTAGCTAAAACATATAATAACTGAGGTAAGGCAGAGTTCTTAAACCCTACTTTTGTTGCGCGCTACCACTATTTGTCAAAAAAAGTAGAGCGCGACTGCTATCGCTACCTATCAAAAAAGAGTATAGCGCTTTTAGTTACTTTTCTTTAAAGGTAGATCTGGCTACTTTTTATAAATAAAATTATAAATAAATTTGTTTTATTTTTTGCTTATAATGTAATTGTATAGTATATTATACACAAAAATCAGCATTTATAAATATTTGAATATAGTTAATTATTGATTATAAAAAAAATTTATGAAAAAAGACAAAAATTAATGTAATAAAAATAACTATTTATGGTAATATTAATTTTTTATCTATTTTGTTGTATTTTAATAATAAAATCATTTTATCATCCTCAAGTCTAAAGCGACGATCAGAAAGTGTAAGTTTTGGCTTCTCTCAATACTAGCACCTGAGGGTAAGGCAGTATTTAATTTTATATACATTCTTTTAATATAAGAAAATTAGTATTTTTAGATTTAAAAAACGCGTCTAGGGGATTTTCTATTATATTAATATCCTTAATTTTTAAAAATTATCAGTGGAAGTCGTTTTGGGGGTTACTAGAGAATCTTTGTTTGGTACTAGACTATTCAGCTTTACCAAGCTTATCACGTTGATCTTTAACATCATCGATTAGATCATCTTTCATCACTTCAAAGTTATCTGTTATCTTAATAGTTAGTGTCTGGCAACAAAAAATTGTTGTACCAGGGGATAGATTTAATCATCATGGTAAATGATGGACTATCAACCGATGACATGGCTGAACGGTATTAATTATAAAATCGACAATAAGTTTATTAGCCAATTTCTTAGAAATATTGGCATGTATTATTAATCAATTTAGTTTGAATTGAATTGGTCTTTTTGGATGTAGTCTCCCTTTTACCAAAATTATTAAGATGTTATTATATCTCTTTAAAACTGTTGGCATGAACATTCTTACAAAATAACGATACTATTAGAATTTATAAATGACAATTATCTTTAGGTGTTTTTTGAGGTTATAGCTACTAGATTTATTTAAGGATATATTTTTTCTATATTTAAACAAATAAATTTGTAGCCACTTTTTGTTTTTACGTTAATTTAAAAATATTTTAAATTTTGGAAATCAAAAATTTGTATTATTGTGATCAAGAAAATTTTCCAGGATACCTTCCACTTCATTAATATTATCATTGTCTGACTCACAATTACATCGATTTCGATATCCATTTGCAATGAATTTTAAATAATTAACACCAGTTGATTTAAGTTTATAATACAAATTGTAAGTAAAAATTTCAATTTCAAAATTAAATAATAAATCATAAAATAATTAATTATGATATAATATTTAAATTTTCAGTTACATTATATTTTTTGCTACTTTTAAAAAAAGAAGCCTACTAAAAAAATAAATAATTGAAAAAAAAGTAGCGCTCTATTAGCCATCGCTACCAAAAAAAGCTAGCGTGCTACTTTGACAACTCTGTGTAAGGATGAGGAGTAGGATTAAAGGTTAGAGAAATATGGGATAGGTATTTACTCAGTAAACATTTGTTAAACAGTGAATATTCCAAGATTGAAAATATATAGTAACTAAAAATTAGATCTAAAGGAAAATTTTACCCTCATTAGTGTTGGGTAGACAATATAAGAGGAGAATGCACTATGAATTAATTAAATTGAAACAGAGACTAATTTACATATGGGAGAATATTTATATCTAATGAATTTATTAAATAATTGAAAAAATAGGAAACACAAAGATTCAAATAATTAGAAATAAATATCCAACTATCGAATGCATTGGGTGTGCAAATCATGGACTTAATTTGTCTTTAAAATGTAGCAAATAAAATATTGCTGATTTGAATTTTAGTAGCAAAGGCCCAAGGTATTATAAAATATGTAAAATCTAACAATGTTCTTTTAAACTACTTAGAGAAAAAAAATAGAATTGCTTTTTTTATAGTTACCTTAGCCCAACTCATTGGGGTATAATTTTGACGATTAATATAGCCTGTTTAAAAAAGGTATTTTGTAGAAAAGAGCAATACTTGATATTTTTACGGATAGAAACTTATTCTTCGTAATGAAAGTTTTTTAAATATTCCTGTATTATACATTATAAAAGCCATTCCTATTTTATTAGATAGTGTAGGTGGATAAACCCAATTTATCTGATGTTCCTCGGGCATCTATCTATATCAAAAGATATTTAACAATTATAATATCAAATCTCTTGAAGTACAAAATTATTGATATTAAATAGAAAATCGGAAATTTTTATCTTCAAACGAAGATATCAAACTAAATAATTAAAATTATGGCAAACTTGTTTAAATAATATGTTAATAATCTCGATATCTTCAATAAAATATGAAATAAAATCAATATTGACTAGTAAAATAAATAAATTTAGATGGAAATTTCCATTCTCCAAATTTCCCCTAATTATAGTTTCCCGGAAAATTTACATCCCTAATGATTGGTCGTAATGCGTAATTTTTTATAAAAACGGTTTAATATAGAATGGTAAGCCGTTAAATGTGCTTTTTCAAAATTGACTTTTTTTCCATAAATGAATATATTAGGATTATATTCAGGATTATATTCATCATTTACCAAAAGCTCACAAATAACCAATATATAATATATATAGTGGTTTTCTATTTATCATGTATGATGAAATTTTTATTATAGTAAAATATGTTTTAAAGTTATTGTTTTTTTATTCATTCGAGAGCAATTTCTCATAATCAGATACGAGTGTTTGCAAGGCAGCCGCACTATGCTTGATTAATTAAAGCAAAACAAAATTATTTGCTTAATTCATGCAAGTACACATCAAATTAGACCAGTCATCGTGTTTTAATTTAAAGGCAGTATACGAAATAGTTTGGGGCCAAAAATGTTTTCTCGGATTAATTAAATAAAAGGTTCCTTATGAAAAAAATATGACTAATAATTACAATTAATTTTTTCTACTTCGTAATTGAACGAAATAGTTACTTATACATAGTTAGTGCCATCTAATCATTACGTTATTCTTCTAGTTATGACCATAATATTTACTACCAATATTTCCTCCTAAAATCAATCTATAAACTCATTTTATTAAAAGGTAACGGTGACGTGTTTGGGGATTATTTTTGGCGAGAACAGACCATCGGACAATCGAGTGCTAACGTCAGGGCCTTAACATATTGCGACCTACACGTCATCAAAAGGGACAAACTATTGGACGTATTGGCTTTTTATCAAGCCTTCGCTAATTCTTTCGCCAGAAATCTCATTCTGAACTACAATCTCCGACACAGAGTTTTATAAAAAAGAGAAATAAAATATTGTTTTTGGTTGAATTATTAAAATGATAATTTGGTGGATAAATAAAATTGTCTCTTAAATTTTTATTCCATCGATAACTTTGGGTGACTTTTGGGAACCCTGTTCCTCCAAATAAAATTCTTTTGCTCCCTCCTTCCAAAAGAAATTTGGATATTCGTTATTCAATACGCTATCTAAAATAATTAGTTTAGCCCCACCTCCCATCGATTGATATATAATAACTTATGAAGGCATATTTAGGGTAGCTATGGCGTAACAGCGATGCTGCGAGCCTCCCCTGAAACCTTCACGGGGCCCTTTCAAACCTATATATATACTCCGGGTTTCCTTTTGCGGCCCACCTCGCAAATGGTTACGTTTCACTGGTTAAGCTTAATATTTTGACAAATTAATTTAGCTTATATACTTGTAAAACTATTATATTTTTAATGTTCAAAATAGTTATGTTACATATGTATATATCGTTAAGAAAAATTTTTTATATACTTGTTACAATCGCAACCACCCAAAAAAAATTTTAAAAAAATATAAAGAAAAAATTTTAAAATATGTAAACTATAAAGATAATCATATAGACGTAGTTTAAATTTAGCAAAGGAGGGGAGGGTAGCACTAACAGAGACCTTCATGGGTCGGGTATGAGTCTAATATTATATTATTTTTTTAAAAATTTTTTTAATGGGCTTGGGCTGGACTTGGGCATAAAATTATTAAATTTAAATTTAGATTATTTAAAACAGTTGCTAATTTAAAGAAATATTGCCTTTTTTTTCAAATTTCAGTATTGTAAACAAAATGCTTGCCTAAATATATTTAAATATTGTTTATTTTCATTTAATAAAAAAAAAAATTTGGGATTTGGGCCGGGTTTGGGAAATTTTTTTGAAACTTATCATGGACTTGGGCCGGACTGGGCTTGGGAATTTTTTTTAACATTAGATATAGGCCGGGCTTGGGCCTATAAAATTTTTTTACTGCGGCACTGGGCCGGGCTTGGTCAAAAAATTAAGCCAATGAAGGTCTGAGCACTAGTTGATGGGGTTTTCCTTATATATTTTATTAAAATGTTTATTTTATTGGAGGAAAAAATTTCCAATTTTTAAAAAAATTATTAACTTTTACTTATTATTTTTAAAAAATTATTGCATTAAATGACTTCTCATATACACATTTTCTTAGAGGGATGGGAGAGTGGGAGCATGTAGGGAGAAAATTTTTACCCGCTTGAAATGATTTTTACAAAAATAGGCAACTTTCTGAAGAGGGGTTCATTCAGAGCTTTTCTTTCTTATAATCAAAAAATGAACCTATAATCAAAGTATGAATTTATAATTTAAAAAAGGGCGATCTCTGCATCACCTTCTTTGGCTAATTTTATATCATACGAAATTATAATCATGTAAATTAATAAAAGCATATATTTTTATTCTCATGACTTAATGTAATTTTTTTTTTTTAAAAAAACTAAAATAATATTAGGCTAAATTACAAACAAAAATAATTAATTATTTTTTCCCCCCTCCCTTTAATGTCATACAAAATGGGTATTAAAATATTCATGCTCATTTAAAATTTACTGAAACTAACTAAATTTTATTTCTGCAAGAAATTACATTTATAACAATTAAAAAATTATTTTTAGATAGTTTTTAGAAAGGTTGCTGATGTCAAACGTGAATTGGAGTTAGAAGAACTTCGGAAAAATCAACCTTTGCCACAGTTTGACGAAAATCACCCGGTTCGAAAATTACTATCTAGACTTCGCAAATCTAGCACTGCTCAGGATAAAGTTTTAGGAATTCTAGGTAATTTTATCAAAGAAATTATATGTAAAAATTATGTAATATGAAGACTATATAAAAAAAACAATCGAACATATCAAAGGACATTACCAAAAATTATTGATTAACATACAAATAAATTATATTAATGTTCCAAAACCTGCACTGTTCGGAAAAAATAAGGTAGATAATTTTTATTTACCCCCTCTTACTTAAAAAAAATGATCCGACCGGCCATAAGACCAAGTGAGAATTTTGCCCATGCCAAAGAAAATGTGGATATTTGAGGTCAGTTTTTTCAAAAAAAAATTTCGGTCCGGGTTTTATATTTTCAGGCCAGGCTCGAATTTTTTTAAAATTTTCTGCCCCTTTATTTTTAATTTACATAGCTAATAATGGCGATTTAAAATATTTTGTTTTAAAATACACGGCCTGGCCCGATTATTTAAAAAAAAATACCTGGCCTTAGGACCGGATTATGGGATTTAACAGTTTTTATTTACAATGATACTGACCGGATTAGTTCAGACTAGGACTCATGGATAGAAATGAGAGTTTTATTATAATAAAAAAATCTCTACTATTGCATATAATTTTAAATTTAAATTTTTTTTGTTACAAAAATTGATTTAACTTAAAATGGTTGCGCCTTTTTCTTCATATCACTTAGGTAGCACTACAAACTCGACCTCAGAAATCAAAGGTGCCTTCATCAAGAAAAATTCCAGTTCAGGATCGTCAATCCTTCAACCCAATAGAATGTTGAATAAATTGACTGCCTCGGTGGCTCCCGCAAAAAATAGTGATCCATTGACACATATGCTAGGCGATAAGATAATTACATCCTTAAACAAGGATACTAATCTTCAGTTTAATATACCCATGCCTACCTCAACTATTTTAAATAATGTCATCGAGATGAACAATTTGTCTAGCATCGTGAAAAGCGAAAGTAGATTGCCTTTGATAGAAGCATCCACCAACAATGATGAAATAGATGATGAGGACGATGAAAGAAAGTCTCAACTCATGTTGGAGACGCTGAGAAAACAAAAAGAACGAAAATGGCGGCATTTGTTGATAGGGGAAGACGATGAACCAAGCAAACAAATAGCCCCTTTAATTAATATCCCCACCGTTTATACGGAAAATAGTACCAGGTATCTCGGCATTGCACCTTCTACACCTTCTCGACCAATATATGAACCGGTGAATATGATAGAAAATAGCGTAATAATGATAAACAGCGAAATAAAAGATATAAAAGTTGCCATGGAACGGATAGAGCTAAAAATTAATCACATATTGGCTAGGCTGGATCATGACCCGAATTTCAGTATTTTAATTTACATTTATAATAAAGTTTTACTGGTTTAATATGTTCAAAAAAATTTGAAGAATGGGGGGGGGGGGGATATGCTTTGCATCAGCGGTAAGAGACAAGTGAAAGGATTCTACGCACAAATATGACAGCTTTCTTTTTACAACAATGGAATGGGACATTGTTTTTTTAAGAATCAAATTGACCATAAAATTTATATTGGGATAAGGTGCAACATGTTTTTTAAAGAAGTTTTATTTTTTAAAAAAAATTCTACATTTACAATAATGGAATGAAATGACCAAAGATATTATTCCGAAGATCAGCCATGGGTCTATTTATTTGAGTTTAGGGTTCCATCATTAACATATTATTTATATGGGAAAGAGAATGTGAAGTTTTGTGGATAGGCTTTCACAGTCACAAGTTTTTAGTATAGGTCATCTGTAACACATCATTTTGATACTTATTGCTACTTTTTTTAAATATTATATTTTCCTATTTTAAGATCAGCCTACCGTTCCAATATCTTACACAAATTCCTTCAATTCCGATTCTTACATAACCCTTTCTAGTCCAACCTTAAATAATTCTTCAACTTTACACCCGTCAATACCACCTACAATTGCGATATCTAACATTTCGTCATTGCCTAGAATCAAAAATATTATCGAAAAAGATCAAGATATGGAAGTTTAATCTATTTTCCTTTTGGGATAAAGATTCTAAACGCGAGTCCAGTCAATATATAAAGATCTTACCTGTTCATTTTCATTATACCAAAGCATATGCCTTATTTATGTTAGTAGATAAGAGAATGATGGTCGAGATTGTTATGATTTATATATGCAGTTCATATTCATGCAAAATATTGTATTAAACTATATTGTAGATAATTTCTATTATACACATTTAAAATTATATTGCCGAATTTGAACAAATATATATATTTAAGTACAAATGTGATATTAAATAAATGGATTTAATATTTGAGATACATTCTTTATTTAATGAAAGTAAAGTAGAATTATGTATACCGGTGATATTTTAAAAGCAGGTTAGAGTCCCTACAAAAATCTCTTTTAAATGCGACCTCCTCCTCTCAATTACGCACATAGAGGCGTATCCCGGATTTTCCTATGGGGAAGGGGGGGGCGTACTATTAAGCGAAATTTTTATCTATAAATTTTATTACTTATAATTTAATAGTCGTTTAAATAATTATTTGCTTTTACTTTTTTTTTCAAATTATTGTTGCATTTGTGGGTTGAAGTGGATTTTTATTGCTTAAAATGATATTTACGAGAACAGGCAATTCCCACTTGCCCATCCTTTGGTTAAGTCTACACTGATATATTTTAAGCGATCACATGTAAAACCTATCACCTCAATAATTCATAAAATAACGGACAGTTTTTTTTTATTGCATGAAAATATAAAACTCTAATATATTCATAGTTTGTGAGGATAGCCCATACAAAATCAATTTTAATAGATAAACTTTAAAAAAATATCAATTAATTTACAAAACCATTTTAATCGTAAAAATTAATTGAAATAAGATATCTATGTTATTTTATGATTCAAATTCGAACTAAGGGTTTGAAGGAATAGCGAAAATAGAGGAAATATTGAACTGATAAAATGAATTGTAAAAAAAGAGCCAGTCCTTAAATTATAATGTAGAAGAGAAAGAATGGGAGGGGGGGGAGGGGGGATAAAATAAAGAAATCGTTTATTTTCATTATATAATATAAATAATATCCTTTATCCTTGAAAATGATATGCAATAAAAATAGAGTTATATTTTTTTCCTGCATTCAATTTTTAATCACCTTATTCCATATATTAATATTTTCCAGCTTCTCCCCAATTCTTATGCAGGCTCAAATAGAAACAGATATATACCCTAAAAGAAAAAGAAAATCGATAAAAGGGTACAAGATTTGGATATTACGTTACCTGTGATCAGACATCATCTAAGTTAATGGCCATATTACCACCCTAAAATAATAAATAAAATGAAATCCAAATCATCAAAATTAGCAACAAAAAAGAAATTCAAATTAAAGGTTGACGCTGTCCGGGAAATTTTTTTTCGGTTTACAAGTTGTCCGGCACAACCCGTAATTATTTTTTATGAAAGAACAACATAATTTGCCTAATTACCAATTTTAAAACATTAATTTGCCTATTAATTAGATTTAAAAAACATTTTCAAAACTTCGGCTCGGCCCATAAAAATAAGGATATTTTTTGGTGGTATTGATATTTTTTATCATATGTCTAAATTTTCGCAGCCACGTTTAATAATTTTTAGATTAGAGAAGAGTAAAATAGTTTAAAGATATTGCGCTATCTAGCGGGTGTAATTTTAATACTATATATTTATATAAATCATGATTTATTTAAACATGTTAGCATAATAAATAATAAATGCGAAATTTTGCATTTTTTCACTAGTAATAATTATTTTATGATTAATATCTTACAATTAAAATTACAAATATTAATTTTTTTATATATTGACAATCAAAACGCATTTTAAATTAGCATTACCATAAATCTCCCACATAAATAAAATTTGTGAAAGAAATATTTATATGCCTAATTAATAAAATTGCTAATTCTGATCGTTATCAGTTTAAATTTTTGTGAAAGGAAAGTGATAATAAAAAAGGATATGCCTTTGTCAATACATCGGTACTACCATTTTACACCTGTTCCCTCAGTTTTTTGAACACCATATCTAAAAGTTAATATTGCCCATTTTACTAACAAGAACAGTTTCACATTTTATTTCAACTATGAAAAATAACAACACTGTAAATTCGATTACATCAAATTCTTTAAACCTCTTATTAATAACTTTATAATAAAAATCTTTATGGAGGACAACCTTGCTAAGCATATTAGGCCTTATACTTAAAATTAAAAACCATTCATAGTTTTTTTTTAAATCATTTTACAAAAATTTTAGTAGCACACTTTGTGTTTTATTTTTATTTTAAATATATATATAAAAAATTCTTTTTACCTTTATATTTTGGTAAACCATAATTACCTGGGATAAATATCCTGGTCACGGCACCAATATCTTACTCCTAACTTTATTTAGCTTAACTTTTATTTTAACTTTTCTCGTAAATCAAGAATAATGTAAAAAAAAATAAACAAATTGTACTTAATTTTATTAAATTAATATCAAACATTTTATAATAAAAAATAAATATATCACAATATAATTCAATAATGAATCATCTTTTTCTCAGCGGAGAAAAATATATATTTTTCCAAAAATATTAATCATATTATTTTTTATTATAATATTATTTTATTTGGGTTGCCTTTAAAAATTATGCATGCTACGACATGCCACCTCTTTGTGGGAAAGAGGCATTACCAGAAACATAAAAATATATTGTACATGGTATATAACAAAAAGTATATAAAACGTTAACATGAAATTTTACCATATGGTCTCCGTGGAACCACCAGTGGAGCTAGTATCATTTCAGTCGTTTTTTCGACAGCGGTATTTCTCATTGTGCACAACACTTTTGGATTATTGTGTTGAGCCTTCACCTGAGCTATATTCATTGAGCCCACCCTATTCATCATCCGCGAGATGGAGGCTGAGGAGTCATCTCTAATTATGGACGGTCTAATAATATTCTTCACAAACTCTCATGCTAATCATCTTGTTGTCGTCCTTTAAGTCTCAAACCCGTTGTCGTTGCTGCTTCCCAGGGGTTGATTCCATCGGACTGTAGCACTGAATCTTTATATGATCTTCTGATTGACAATTATAACACCGTCTCTTCCTTGAATCGGGGGCTCTGTTTCCCGTCCTTGGTTCCCCTCCGGGATATCAGCATTCATCTGTAAACCCATATATTTTAGGATGAGCGTTATTTGAAGGTAATGAATGACTGTCCAAATCTATGAGTTTTGACTTCGTATTCTTTAAAAAAACTTTAATAAAAGGCTTCCTTTTATAATTAAGGAATTTTACAAACAAATATCATTTCAAAACTTCTACAGTTTTTTTAAAAAAAATATATAAAATATCAAGAAATAATTTTTTTTTAAAAAACCAACACAACTATAACTATTTATTTATTAATTAACAATTGTAAAAAAAATGTATGATGCATAAAAAAAACTGGAAAGACTAAAACTTCTTTTTTTTCTTTTTCCGACAACAATTTAAATTTATTTTTAAAAAAATGTGCGATGTAGATAAAAAAAACTTGATTTATTTATTATCTTCTCTGAATAATATTATAAATTAACATTTATCTTCCGTTCAGTAAAAAAAATGAATGGAACAACATCAATCCCCTTTTTATTGTCACTTTTCATTTTTAGAAAAATTACAAAATGTTAAATATCGTAATTAACAATTTTATTAAGCACTCTCTGCAGACCAAATTACTGATATAATCAATGTTTTTACAGGACCATAATATCATTATAATCAACTCAAACAAATGAGTTACTATGCAATAAATTATTTTATTATTTTTCCTTATTTACCTTCAATCAAAGGCAATCGAAAACTATCATGTTATATAAAAATAAGAACCAATGTTGATGTTAAAACCCCCTTAACATATTATCCTGCCCATTCAATAACTGAGAGTAACATTTTAGACTAACTAGTCGCATAAGTTTACCCTCAGTCAAATTTATAAATCAACCTCATTTATAATTCTATTAAGTAATATATCGATTTAATTTTATTATTTAAAAATTAATAAGACTGTCTAAATATTTATTAAATGAATACTTAAATATTAGATTAGATTAATACATATAAATTATATTTTCACTATGTCAGCTTGCAATCAAATTTTGTGTTAAAAATAGAATATCAATATCACTCACTAAATATTAATTTAACATTAACAGTTGAAACTTAATTGACTATTATTATTTAAGTTAACATATAACCCTAATTAAATAAATATAATCATTTATTAATTGAAAATAAAAAATTTAATATTGCAATTAGCCGTATTCAAAATGACTAATCATTGTATATTTATTTTTAAATTTTAGTATCATACTTATTCCTGAAAATATTTTCAAGGTTCAAATAAGTATAAGAGATTTCTGTATAAAAAGTAAGTAATTAGAGATATAGTTTATAATGCTCTATTATATATAGTTGTTTATTAAAATATTAGATAAAATGCAACTTTTATAGACGTATTTGACAGTTATATAATATATTACAGTTAATATTATAATGAATTATATATAAATGCTTTTGATAATAAATATAGTAACAATTTGCATTTAAGTAATTAATGCCATCTATTTAGTTATATATAATTTTAAAAATTAAACATTTTATTATTTATACTACAATAGATGTAATATATTTGATATCTTTTCTTCTCTTAGGAAAGCTATTTTTTTCTTTTTCGAAAAACAGTTTTGAATTAAATTTTTAATACAAGTATATTTTTGATATTAAGATATAATATACCAACTAGAGGTGGTGCGAAAATATATAAAATCTTGATTGTTTCATTTTATCATTCTGGTTCTTATTTTATGGTTAGAAAATATTTTATTTCTAATATGACATCCTTGCCGTGTAAACAGCGTATACATGACAGGATTTTCACTGGATGCAAACTCCCTCCAAAAACCTTTGCTCCCCTAAAAAATTCACGCCGCCTTCGGCGGCGGTGTCTCTACTATTATTCTTTTTACCTTTTTAATTTATTGATACTCTTTTTTGAATTTATAAAGGATAACTTAAATTAATCTATCTCTACTACCAACTATCGATATTTTGTGAATATAAAGAATTTATTTTTTAGATAATAAATTCAATTAAAACCTCCATTATTTACAATGAATTAATTATTATGGCATCATGAGCTTGCTTAAATATCGAAACCTTTTAAATTACATTTAAAAGGATAGCAGAAAGTTTTATTTGGAAAACAATTGTATGATTGTTTGCTATATAGATTAGGTCGATGAATTGTATTATAATAATTCTATGATAAAAGTATTAATTTTACTGCAATAAATGTTGTCCTATTTCACCTCAAAATTAATAAATAACCCCCTCCCCCCAAAAAAAAAAGTAGGATACAAACTGTTCCTACCCCTCCCGCTCATGTAGCATATAATTGCATATTTTAGATAAACAATAATGATCAACTGTGTAGTCGTTTATATATTATTTAAAATGGAAGATAATCTTGTAGAAATTTAATATCTCACAATAATTTTCTCGATTGCTTATCTAGCTTCCATCTTGTCATCTAAGAGGAAGCTCTAACCACCATATAGTTTTATGATTTAGATTGGTCGTTTATACTCTCTCCTTCAAAAATTGTTGATTGGGTTTAGGCCAATAAATTTTTCCTTATTAGTCCATTCTATAAAACATTGTCTAAAGTGGTAACAAAGAGCTATACTAGTTTGATAACCTTTTGTCAATGTAAGTTGCTAAGAATTATATTATTGAATTATGTGGTTTTTATAAGCAAGTTTATTTTGTATGCATATTATAATAAATGACAAAATATGAAAATTAGAGTAATTGTTCAGAGTTAGCGAATTTTAAAAAACCCGGCCATTGGGTGGTATGGGAGGCGAAGCCCCCATAAAAATTTTTTTAGTTGAGCCTCCTGAGATTGTGAAGGCTAGCGACGCCCCTGATATCCTTCCACAAACATCAAAACCAAATAAATATAATTATTAATGGTATTTATTTGATATAAATTCACTTTTAAGTCTTTTGAACTAAAAAAAAAATAATTTTTGCTCTTGGGGGGGGGGGGGGGGGGGCTGGAGAGGTCCAAACCCGAAAACCATCCCCGTAGCTACGCCACTGGTTTCAGGTAAACCGAACCTAGCTCATAATTCCCGTTATTTTCTAATAACAATTTTTGTGGTATAACCAATCTTCTCATATTCTATCCACTTTGAATAAGAATCAACCACTAAAAAGTATGAATTTTTGTCTATATCAAAGAAATCGACGCTGATACGTTCTCACGGTATAGTTGATTTGACTCCCTATCTTTTTACGGGTATATAGAGGCACACGAATTACAGGGAATACATTTCCTTGTAATTTTTTCAATATCATTATTCATACCAGGCCACCATACATATTCACGAGCCCATTTTGTTTTTTAAAAATGAGGATACTAATTCAAAATTTTAAGAAAGAAAATATGTGACAAACTAAAACTAAAATAATATAAAAATATATAAGTAACATATCCAAAGGTCTACAATAAGTGGAGTCTTCAATAAAATTTATAGATAAATTAATATGCCTATATATCTAAGATGGACATATTGATGCAATGTCTAGTTGATAATTTCAAGTTTCAAGCATAAGGGTTTGTTTGGATTTTTTTGAAAAAAATTATTCATGTTGGAAGAAGATTTATTTATAATAGAAAATTTATTTATATTTTATATAGATTGAAATAATTAATTATTTATTGTGGAAATTTATATTTTTCACTAAATGTCATGCTTCTCATCCAATGTTGCTCTCATAATATATAGATGCCATATTTGCCATCTGACAATGACTGATGGGAGTGATTACGATCATTTTATAATAACTTGAGAATAATTATGCTGCATATAAAAAGATATTTTAATACTAGAAGTTTAAATTTTATGTAATTGAGTCTATTTTATATTAAATAGTTATTAAAAAATTCTATCAAAATGTAAATATCATTAAAAATGATGGTATGAGAGCAATTTAAATGAAATAAATCTTATTTATGTTATGATAGACTTGTATAATATTTGTCTTGATGGAAAATGTTTAAAATCTCCTTATGGAAAAATATTAAAAACCAATTCAGAAGGTTTAGCTCATGCTATTGTTCAAGAATGGATATCTCAAAAAGATATTATAGATAAAAGCAACATGCATTTTGTAGGATTAAATATTTTTTTTATAAAGTATGAATATTTATAATAGACAACAATGTTGAATATGTCTCTAGACAATCCACAAAAATTATCTAAGGATGCTTTAATCACGAGTTTATTATCATTTTTGGAAAATGATACATTATGGTAAAATATAATATCTGATTTAGTAATTTTTGGTAAGCTATAGAAATGATGGTGAAGAATTATATATGCTTCAATCTAAATTATGGGATCCTTTGATTGATTGGTTTGAAAAAAGGTATATTATAACATTGAAGCTTGCATTTGTATGATTTTACATTAAAATTGGTACACACTTTTTGTAAAGAAAACAACATAATTTTTATGAATATATCCATTATCTCCCTCCTTTTTAGATTTAATGTCAAAGTCAATTCAACAGTTACTCTTTTAAATCCAATAACTGATTCCAATTCAAAAGAAAGACTGACTAGACATTTATTTAGCCATAGTTTTGAAGTTTTAACAGGTTAGTAATCAATATTTTTAATTATATATTCATTGTCAATATAGGCTATAAATATAGCTGTGAAGCCAGCAGATCATTAATCATAACCTGTGCTCTAATGGAAGGAACCATTGATTCTGAAAAGGCTGCAAATTTAGCTTTATTAGAACAAAATTTTCAAGTTTTAAATTCAAACCTTAACTATATCGAAATCATTTTTATTCTTTAGAATTAGAATTATAAAATGAATTATTTCATGCAATGCATACTAATTCATCTAAATAGATGGAGCTGCCAGTTTTCAATTTTGGAAAACCTATTAACCAGAACCCCTTTACGAATTGTTTATAACAAAAGTAAGACTAAGTTATTTGTTCAAAGACTTGATTCATTTTAATAAGAAAAAAATTTCATTGCAATATTTCGAACCAGAATCTCTAAAATATATTCTATTTTATATACTGATGATAAAATAAAACAGAGACTTGCTGGCCCAGGTACATGGGCCGGGCTGTATATTTTAAAACCAAATATTCAAAATCGCCATTATTAGCTATAAAAATCAAAATAAATATAATATATTTTTAAAAAATCTGGACTGGGCCTGAAATTTTTTTTAAAAAAAAAACTTGGGCTAAGCCAAAAAAATTTTTTTTAAATAAATCCGGGCCAGGCTATACAAATGGTACCTCTGCAGGACTCTGAAATAAAATAACAATTTTCTAACAAATAAAAAAAGGGAGTTACGATTTTTTGAAGATGAAGAAGCACTTTGCAATGTCAGCAATATTGTTATGACAATCATTTGTCCTATAAGATGGTCTATCAATTTGGATATTAATAAGTGTTAATTGGGTGCTTATTAGTATTTAGGAACCTAACTAAATTAAGAGATCATTCTATGTAAGGGTCAAATCCTAACATAAATAATTTGAGAATTTGGATGAGGTAAAAATTAAATTTGGATCCATCTAGGAAAAGTGTTAAAATGCATATAAACAAAATTCTATTAATATTTTTTTAAATATTCTAACAATGAAAATTAATATTTATAATAATATATATTTGTTAAATACCAATACACCTTAACCATGTCTCATTAAATTGCTTGGTAATAGTGTTTCTTTTTAAACAGACTTAGCATCTAAATTATCATTAAAAAAATCTGCTAGATTTGCTTTTTTCCTAAAGAAATTTATCTTGTTTATATGAGTTTTTTCATGATTTTTGATTTTTCAAGTGAGATTACTTTGGCAGGAACAGAAAGAACTTTTTTGTGCCAGATGGGTCTACAGAATAGGAGGTTGTTAAAGTAGTGTGCCTTTTTTGGTAACGATAGCTACCTTTTTCCCAATTATTTATTTTTTGGCGTGCTCCTACTTAGCTATTTTTTGAAAATATAATGAATGTAACTATAAACACGAAAATTTAAATATAATATCATGATTAAATAATTTTTATAATTATTATTTAATTTTCAAATTTATATTTTCAATTTGTATTATAAACCTAAATTATATGGCATAAATTATTTAATATGTCATCACAAATGAATATCCAAATCAATGTAAGTGAGTCAGACAATTATGATATTAATGAAATGGAAGGTACCCTGGAAGAAAATGTTCTTGATAACAATAATACAAATTTTCCATTTCCAAAATATAAATATTTTCAAATTAATGTAAAAACAAAAGGTGGCTACAAATTTATTTGTTCAAACTGTAAAAAAAAAATACCCTCGAATAAATCTAGTAGCTATAACCTCAAGTCTTTTTTAAATTCTAATAGTATTTTTATTTTGTAAGAATGTTCAGGCCAACAGTTTTAAAGACATAAAAAAAACATCTTAATAATTGTGGTATAGGGGAGACTACATTCAAAAAAACCAATTCAATTCAAGCTAAATTGATTATTAATATTGCACACGCCAATATTTCTCAGAAACTGGCTGATAAAGTTATTGTCGATTTTATAATTGATACAGTTCAGTCAATGTCATTGGTTGATAATCCATCATTTATCATGATGATTAAACTTTATACTGACAACAATTTTTTGTTGCCAGACACTAATGATTGAGATAACAGACAAAGATGTCCTAGTTAGGACCATAAAAACGACTTTCACTGATAATTTTTTTTCAAATAAAGGATACCCTATACGGGTTTTTTAAATATAAAAATACAAATGAGTATTATTGATAATTTTTCTTAATATTAAAAATATTTATATACAATTAAATACTGCCTTGTCCTCAAGTGGTAGTGTTGAGACATTATTTAGTAAGGCGAAACTTATACTTTCTGATCCTCACTCTAGACTTGGGGATGATAGTATAGAAATGATTTTATTATTAAAATGCAACAAAATCAATAAGAAATGAATATTACAATAAATAGTTATTTTTATTACATTATCGTCTTTTTACATAAAATTTTTTATAATAAAAACTAACTATATTTAAATATTTATAAATTTGATATACTATGTAATTACATTATAAGCAAAAAATAAAACAAATTTATTTTTAAATTTTTTAAAAAAAATTGTAGCTAATCGCGCGCTCCTTTTTTTTGGTAAATATCGGTAGCGCGATACTTTTCAAAGTAGAATTTAACAACTGGCTGTTAATCATTTTATCTTCCTAGTGTATTTAGGTTCTTAAGATATGTTTTTTTAATTTATTTTTAGCGAAAAATTTAAATTTTCATTTTAGAGTGCTTAGTAGTTAAAACTAGATTAAAGAATCATAACAGTATCCAGGATTTTTCTGTGGGGGTGGGGGGCACTATGATTTTTCCCCATCAGTTTTATTGGAGATCTTTAGATTGTAGGCCTTTGGCTATATTAGATTTTTATAAAAATATTTTTGAGTTTTCACTTTTTTTATTAAAACGCTTTTTTTCTAAAAATTTTGAATTATAGTCGTTATTTTAACTTTTATTAATTTTTCTTTCTAATTCTTCCTTATAATGATATATTGTTTTCAGAGAGCGGGGGAGGTGTGTAAGGGGGTGGAGGTATAAGCTTAAAACGATATTTATGATAACAGTCAAATTTGCGATGGGGGTGGGGAATTTCCCCTCTACCTTACGCGCCTGACGGGATTGATACACTAACAAACACGTTCTGGAGGGATGGGGGGGGGGGAGTGAGGAATATTAATATAATATTTTATAAATAAGGTCAGATGATTTTATTTATTTCTATATATCTGCGTTTTGAGGCAACTTTCCTGATACCTAGCCATCAAGCTTAATTTTTTTAAAAAATGGAATATTCAAATGCAGTAAATGCTCGCTATATTATAGTGTACTTCAAGCATAGACTCAATTTTTTTAATAATAAAACAAATTTTAATATTCCAGTATGTTTAACAAAAAACGTTTTATTTTATCTATCGCCAAGGTAAAAGATTGGGATCCTCGTTCTTTCTTTTTTAGAGCTTCGATCCTTTGATCGCCATTTTTTAAAATGTTACTTAACAATCCCGATATTAAGAGACAAAGATGAATGTAATTAATATATAAATATATATCTGATGGGAAAGGAGTCAAATTCAATATTATATCAAAATTTTAAAAATATTATTTTTTAAAAGTTTAATCCAACGGTTTATACATTTTTGAGCCCGAATTATCTTGATTTTATATCCATGCTGTATAAGGACTAAGTCCCTAACCAACTTATCGGTTACAGTAATCGCAATTTTTTGCATTGATATTATCGAAAATCATCATATCACAGCAGTATGTTCCAATTACATCTCATGTCTTAAACGATCATATTTACCTTGTGGGAATTTAATAATGATATGTTACCAATTTCTTTTGTTATTTCCGGTTTCCATTATATGAAAATCTTAGTACCATATTACTCGCATTTTATTTATATGCCAAAAAATATTTTTCTTGACTCACGGTGACCTGATAACCTGGCAGCTCTAAATTAAAACGAAAAAATGCTTGGTAGCTTGAATTAAGTAAGGTTCACATTATATCAGAGAGTATATTATTACATAGTTTACCATTTTTAAAAATTTTTTTATATAACGCACAGATTCAGAAATGGGGTAATGTTGAATGGAGCCATGATATACATGAATGTGACGTTATATCTAGATTAGCCAGCTCTTACATATTTTGCCATTTTAATCAAGAAATCTCCAATATACAATCTATCTCTTAAATTTGAAAATTATTATAGTTAATTTACAATGAAAAAGACTACGTTATGCAAACTCATATTATAATAAACAAAGAATATACTCCCTGTATGAAAGATTATTGATCAAATTCAGATTTTTTGTAAGAAAAAATTTTCCAATTGTATTTGATCACGTATCAGGTCAATTCAGCAAAACTTTTATCGCGAATGTCGTTTATCGCGAAGGAATTTTATAGCGAAGATAATATCGCGAAACCAATTCCGCGCATTTTTTTCCGTGAAACATTTATAGCGAAGACAATATCGCGAATTTATTTCTGCGAATACATTCTAGCGAAACTTTGATCGCGAACTCGTTATAGCGAATTTATTTCCGTGAAACCTAAACCGCGAATACTTTATAGCGAATACATTTTAGCGAAGCTTATCGCGAACTCGTTATAGCGAAACTTTAATCGCGAACCATTTATAGCGAATTTTCTACCACGAATGTATTTGCGCGAAATTATTATAACGAGCGCATGACCGCGAAAATTGCATATTCATTTTAAGTGAAATTGATATATTCAATATCAATTTACTAACCGAAGTTTCTTAAATCATAAACGCGAATGTTTTAAGAATATTTTATTACGTATTGTTTTTAATAAGCATGTAACCTCTATCTGATGTGATAGAAAATATATTAATCTTTCTGGTCTCACTCACTCATGGTTGTAAGTATGGAGGGGACATTTGTTAAGTTTTTACCAGAATAAGTTAACCCCCCTCCCAACATAAAATTTTATAGTGTGCTTTATGTCTTAAAGTAAATGAAATACGTATTTTCCAATCTAGATAAAAAAATATACTGAAAATTAAGAATTTTTTATGGATTTTCTCAGATTATTTTAAAAATTATAGAAGATTTTACTGATAATTAATGCCTCCTAATTACAATTTTTAGATAATGCACATCGATATAACTTTCTGATATAAAAGTAACTAATTCATTTGAATATTTTGACCTCTCCTTTTTCTTCTATTCGCATTTTAATAAATAGAAATAACTGCAAAGTTATTTAATCAAAAAAAAATTCGAAATATTCTATTGGATTACTTTGTAATATTTATGAAATAAATCATTAGATCTTCAGTTATTTTAGTTTTTTATTTTTGCTCATTTCACAAGTCTAACTAAAACAATATAAAAATTAAAAAACGTAAAATAGTTTTCATCATTTTTTAAAATAATACTAGTTCAATTTAAATCACAGCGTTTTTATAAAAACACCGTTAACCCTTCTACTTAATTTCTAAGCACTTTTTCTCGTTTTTTCTATTAAAATGGAATTAAAAAAAATCAGGATTTTTTGAAAATAAATAGAAAATGTTCCAAATCAAGAAAATAAAGATATTCCAATATCGGGAAACCAGAGCAAAATGGAGTGTTTGTTTATTTACTCTTACATATTTTACCACGACAAGGGTGGGGGGGGGGGGGGTGGTTTGTTAAAAGCATTTTCTAAATTTTGAGAATAGTTTATAAATGAAGGATAATAAAAAATAATTATAAAAGTGGCTATATTTTAATTATAGATTAAATAGGCGTCTTATTCAATTTTCTCATTTTGTAGCAAATTTTTAGGCCCGGCCATACCTCCCATATTCTAAGAGTGAGGTGGGATTTTTAATGACTAAAAGGATAAAAAACGGGAAAGCGCGACAACTGTAATCCATTTATATATAAATATTGGTGAATAATTTTTTTCAAATTATAATTTATAAATTTTAATATTATCCATATTTATAAAGTCAAAATTAGATCCAAATCTACATATTTATCGGAAGGAATTTATTTTATTTAAAAGTTTATTATTTATGAAAATAAATTTTAACTCTTCGCAATTCATATCAAAATTCTGCTTTACCATTAATTCGCCTCTAATAAATTAAATGAGACCGAAGAAGGATTTTTTCGCCTAATCATATTCATTAAACTCATCTCTGAGCCAGCATTTGAATGTAGAATTAAAAATAAATCTTTACATATTTTTTACGCTTATATTTACATATTTATTTAATTCTTTCAAAATATTCTAACTTGATCGTATCATTCAAAATCAAAGGTTTAAGCTATTTATATCTATAATTACCATAATAGTTTGATAATTCTGAGTAATTTCTTTATATGCTTCAACTTGTGTATCAGAACAGAGGAATAGACAAGATTTATATATTTTAATATCAGCGCCGTTAAATTTGGCGGCTGAATAGTTCTACTAACTAATTGTAAATTGTATCAATATTTCTTGCTTTATTAGTACCAATTGAGTATTTAAACGAGTATATAGTAGCTCATAAAAGGAAAAAAACTATTAGTAACAAAATTTTGGCAAATCTATGATTTAAGCGACTGAAATAATTTATTCCGAATATTTTATCGATGTTCCATATTAATTATAATTTAATTCGTTTAATAGACAGTATAAAGAAAAAGTTTATTAGCAAAATATGAAAAATTGCCTAATTTGGCATTATTGATAGAATGGAAAATAGCTGGTTTGCGCCAATATTTATTAATCAGTCATTTTTTCACACACAAAAAGGTAACCGTACTGTAAGAGAAATAAAATCTTTATCACCCATTAAAGCGTAAAATCAACCAAATTTCTGGAAGCATTTGATCTGGAACTTAAATCAATAATTGAAATTTATTACATTGATTCTTCAATTCGTTTGGTAGATAGTAACGACAAAATAAGATAAAATTGCCAGGATTGGCAACACAAACAAATATTTTTGGGTGAGCTCATAATCATACCATATGAAATGCCAGTTAGTACTTACTATTCCATCAATCAGTTTTTCTAGTCAATAAACAAAAACTAGTTTTAATAAGAGAAATAGACAATAGCACACCTTTAAGTATGTATAAACCAAAAGTTATTAAAATTTCAAAAATTTGAATCAAATTTTGATTGAAAAAAGAATCTAAAGAAAGCAATTATAATAAAAAAATTAAATGAAATATCTTAAAAAAATATTACTATCATTATTTATAAAATCAACTTTTTTCCTATTTCAAAATATGAGGATTTAAAGATAAAAGGCTGACTCGATATTTTAGCCAAAAGAAAATTAAGCTTGGAAACTTTTCCGAGAGATGACATAATTTGCGGCAACTTTGGAAAATGTATCAAAATGAGATGGATTGGTTATGGTAAAATTTAAAACAATTAAGGATAGCTAATTATTTTCATCAAGCGAATAGGTTGAGCTATTGTTTAATAAAAATAATTTAGATTATTTTTAATACCTAAAAAAAAATAAAAATAATTTTTAAAAAAATATAACCAAAAAAAATGATGTATTTTAGTTTTATTTTTATTATTCATGACATGACATGAAGCCACCCAAGCTCAATTACATTGTTATCAAATCAAATGAGAATATAGTATATTAAAAAAAGTTAACCAAATGCCAATATTTAAATAATTAATAACCTTAAGGAATTTTAGAGCTATAATATAACAAAATTAATTCAACCAATTTTTTTCCAAATTTTTATAGCAAGGTCAATATCGTAACTTGAACTGCGAACTCATTGGAGGAGCATCATTGAAATTAGAGAGGGGATAGTTAGTCATGAAATAATTATCATTATTTGAATAAAATTGGAACGGGATGAATGGTATTTTCTTTTTTTAATTATTTATATTTGGTAGGAGGTTAAAAGTTTTGAGAGGGTTGATATCATTCATAGTTATGTATACAAGCCCCTGATTATTCTCCGCAGTCCTTTTCTAAGTTAAAATAGGAAATGGTATAGCAAGTATTATCTTATATTAATAGATCCCTTTAGGTCATATTTTTATTTATCTAATTTACATATAGAATAAATATCCTTACAAAATAAATTTTAATATAAAAAGTTTTTTGAAAAATGATTTTTTTATTTATTGAATATGTGAAGGAAAAAGTAGAGCATTGCCATATCATATCGTCTAAACCAATAGTTTGTTAAATATATAACTGAAGTGTAAAATTTTAAAAGAATCACTGATTTAGTCAAAGACTGGATAAAAATCATGGAAAAAAACATCGGACAAAAGCACCCCAATATAAAAAAATTTACATGCTTTAATAAATAAAAGAAAAATGTAATCCTCGTTTTAAACTATGCCCTTTAGTGTAATACTTGACTATTATTTTATAATAATATTTTTCTAATAATGTTGCTCATCAAAAATGATCATATTTGTAAGGGAAAACAACTATATGACTCAAGGGCTAGAAATATGAATTTTAATAATTTTATAATGCATGACGAAAGGTAGTTATTTTTGAAATATTAATCGTGGGATTGATGTGGTAGAGAAAGACTGCGTCACATATAAAAGAATTTGTAAATACATAAAATCTGTATCTTGATGAATGAATCTGTATGTAGCTAGCTAAATTTTATACCAAAGTAGACCTTCCTTTATTTTTCTCACAAAAAATAATGCGAATATAAAAATATTGAGACTATTATATAAAAACAAACAAAATTTTTATTATTGTATATAAGAATTAAAAAAAATTAAACATTCAATGTTATATTAATAGCGATTCCTTTAAGATAATCTAATCTTGATCGATTTTCAAAATCAGAAACAATTGTTACTATTCTCGCATGTAGATTTCGATATTTTTTTCTCGGGGTAGAGGGAGTTTCACCAAAATTATATTGAGCAATTTTTAACTGTCAACCCTTGTTGTTTTTTTAAGCCTAGAATATAAATTATAAAGTTTATTAGTAAATCTTTATACTTTTTAAATCATTTAAAAATAATAGATATATAGATAACTTGATATAAATTTACACATATTTGGATGGTGACTTGTTAGGAGGGAACTGAAGCATCTATGCCATCCTTCAACCGCGTTGTTGGTTTTCGCTTCCCCGTTCAGAGTTGATTGGTAACAATTCCATAGTTCAATATTAAACTAAGCAGGTAGTCTGCCTCTTCCAAACATTTTACCAATGTAAGCTTTTTCAAAAGTTTCAATTAGAGGCTGAAGTAACAATTGATTTTTAGAATAAAATTCGGAGTTTATTAGTAATTCAAATGTTTCAACTACATTTAAGGATGGCACAAATGACAAGCAAACCATCATTCTAAGTTGTATATTAAATTCCACATCTGTTTTATATTTCTGCGATATTTCTGGATATTTTTGAATGTTCCGCCAAAAGGATTGGCCAAAATGGAAATAGCAACATTTGTGTTGCGAATTGGGAAACACTTCATTGAAAGCTTTTACACTGGCCATTTCAAAATCCGTCATAATTTTTTTTGGAGTTGATATTAAGTTGTCACCTATAATATTAAATATTCTTTTATATGTTTCATAATCCTTTTTATTGGTCAATATATATATGAGAGGTAAAACATTATTATTTTTAATCCCATGAATTGTATAAATTTGCTTAAATAAAGGTGGCGACGATTTAAATGTACTATCAGAAATACAATGTTCGCATGAAGCTAAGAAGTCCAAATTTTTTCTTGTTCCAAATATGATAACACGGTCGGGAACCTAGCACACATGATAAATAAATAAGCAATTATAATAAAGTGTTTCTTATCGGGAAGCTTATCGCAATAAAAATGAAGGATTTAGTTATATTTGTTCAAAAAATTTATAGAAAATCTTACCGGACCATCATCATGAAGTATGAAATCCTCATATTTATCTGTAATTGAATATTCATGCGGGATTACCAGCTCAATAAGGCTGCTAGGATTCGGAGGTGCAAAACTGTTTGAACTCCGCGTTCGTTTAATTATACGTTTCATAAGATTCGGTGATGGTGGTGCCATTGATATGGAATCACTTAATTGAGATACGTGTTTCTCCACAATAAAGTTTGGAATTTCCATAGAATTATTC